TACGTGATATTATTACTTTGCAAATGCATCTATCTATCTAAGTTTATTTTTATCTTTCAATCTATCTATTCCAGTTTATTTTTATTCTTTCTCAGTCTATTCTTATCTATCAACTGATTTCAGTCTATTCATATCTATCTAGCAATGTCGAGCCTGGTCAGTATTAAGTTTGGATGCACATCGTGGATAATGGATTGGAATTGGAAATTGGAGAGCTGAGTTCCAATAACCAATTGGATTTGTTATATTCACTTATGTGCAAGTATGCTTGGGAATGGTAAGAATGCACCTCTTCTCCCCTTAGCTATGGGTTAATTAGTAAAACTTGTAGCAGTAAAAGTCATTATTATCTCCAAAAAATTCATACAATCTGAAAATATTTTCTGGTTTTAAATAACTGGCAGGTGTCCCCCAGGGTTCCATACTTGGTTCTACTCTATTTTTAATTTTCATTAATGAACTTCCTGATGACATCAGCTGCCAACTTGGTATCTATGCTAATGACACAACAATTTACTCTTGCCTCAATAGTAAGGCTTATCAGTCTGATGAGGTCAAAATGGCAGCTGATTTCCAAAACGACCTCAAGTCCATCATTAACTGAGACAAAAGATGGCTTGTTAATTTTAACACCTCCAAAACTATACTTCTCTCCATTAATCATCTGAGAGATCCTTGCTGCCTTTCATCAGCATGGCTGATGCTATCCTTCAGGAAAGTGACTCATTGCTCCTTCTCTGACTCACGTTCTCAACTGATGTGAAGTGGAAAAACTATATTGAATCCATTGTTAGGTCAGCTGCCAAGAAAGTGGGTTCACTATGCTGGGTGAGACAATTTTTCTCTCCAGTACCTATCTTACATATCTATAAGTCTACCATTCGTCCATGCTTAGAATATTGCTGCCACATATGGTCCAGGCTATTTACCTTGAGCTCCTTCATAAAATCCAAAGAAGAATCTGCAATATTATTGGTCCTGATCTGGCAGGTCAGCTTTAGTCACTTTCCTGCTGCTGTAAGGTTGCCTCTCTATATATTTTCTATAAATACTTTCATGGTAATTGTTCAAATGAACTCTTCACTATGGTACCTAAACTTTATGAATTTAAGTGCAGTATTAGGCTGGCATTAAGATCTCATCAATTTACAGGAGAGCTGGTTAGATGTAGCCATAAGTTCTATGCTAACAGTTTCTTTTCTTACACTTCTTGCTTGTGGAACTCCCTTCCAGCTCCATGCTTTCCAGCCAACTTTAATCTGTAAAAATTTAAATGCAATGTCAATTGCTATCTGCTGTTCACCTGATTACTTTTGTCATTTTTTGCTTATCATTAATGTTTCTGTTCCGAATTTTTCTACACTATTTAACCCCTTGTGTTTTAGTGGCATCACTGCCTTGCATGTGGTGATTCAGATTTAAAAAAAAATATAAAATTGATAAGCCATAAAATACAATTAATAATCAAGAAAATCTGAACATTTAATCTTAGTGCAATTAAATTGTTATATCACAAAAACCATTGCCATTCAAGTAGTAATAGTTTTTTTATATGAAAGTAAATTAATTTCTTTTTCAAATGATACCAAAATTTAGCCTCCTTAGTATTACTGGTTTGAAATATCATTATGAGGTCTTGGAAATATTCAACTTTTACAAAGTTGCAGATTTCTGGTGCCTTGAGTTGATCATGTGATGAGTGTTAATGCTGCATGTTAAAGTACAATGCTGGCCAATTGCAGGCCTATTCAGATGCTCCCAAACTTTAAGTGTGTGAAGTTTATGAGCACATTTAGCCATCTCTGACTTTAAAGGAATAAACTGATATTCATGCTGATGTTATCCTCAAAAAGAAAATATATTTTAATGTGTTCAAAATTTCTAGCTGTTGTACAAACTATAATAAAGAGTTTACTTTTTAGATTTGTATCAAAATTTATTTGCAAAAAGAGAGGATGATAATCTTTGGCATATACTTAATGAGAATCTATAGAATGTTTGAAAAAAAAAGTTTTATATAATCGAAAATTGCTATATTCATTAGTCAGAGGCTATAAGTACTTAAATGATCTTTCTTTGACCTAACATTGTTAGGTTTTCTTTCTTTCTGTATTCTATTTTTGAATGAACTCCAGAGTTCAAGCAGATGCCTATTAATGCTTGTAGCCTTGTACTGCTGTTTTAAGAAGGAGAAAAAAGACAACCATTGTCTTCCGGTATATTGGATGTTAATTAAAGGAAATTTTATTTCTGTTTTTTTTTTTTTTTGTTGTTTTGTAGCTTTTGTATTCATGGCTAACCACATAGACTACAAAAAAAAAAAGAAAAAAATTTTATGTAGAAACCAGCAGAGGTTTCAATGAAGTGCAGCCCATTCAAGTTTCATTATTTGCTATGTTCTCAAAAAAATAGTGAGCAAGATTCTTCAGTGTGTACTATATAGTGCACTTCAGGTACAATGGGTTGAGTAATGAGGAATGGTTGACTTTTCTTTTTATTTAAATTTCATTTTCATTTAATAATCCCAAAAATACTGGTTCTTATAATTTAATAATAAAAATCTTTTCATTTAAATACTAGCTTTAATAATCTGATAAATATTGGCTTTAATAACCTGATAAATACTGGCTTCTATAATCTAATAAATACTGGTTTTAATAATCTGATAAATACTGGCTTTAATAACCTGATAAATACTGACGTTAATAATCCAATAAATACTGCTTTAATAATCTGATAAATACTGATTTTAATAATCTGATAAATACTGCTTTAATAATTTGATAAATACTGTCTTTAAGAATCTGATAAATACTGACTTTAATAAAGCAATAAATATTTTAATAATCTGATAAATACTGGCTTTAATAACCTGATAAATGCTGACTTTATAAACTCAATAAATACTGACTTTAATAATCCAATAAATACTGGTTTTAATAATTCGATAAATGGTGGCTTTGATAATGTGATAAATACTGGATTTAATAATCCAATAAATACTGACTTTAATAATGCAATAAATATTTTAATAATCTTTAATAATCCAATGAATACTGGCTTTAATAATCTAAAAATAAAAATCTTTTCATTTAAATACTGACATATTTAAATGAAAAGATTTTTATTTTAAGTCTTCAATTTCAATCACAATTTTTTTAACCTGTAATTTCATGAAATAAGGAAAGTGTAAGACATTTACACATCTATTGAATTATTCCTTATTCAGATTTGTTACATTCACTTATGTGCAAATATCCCTTGCAAAGTTATAAATACATTTACTCCTCCATAGGTATGGGTTAAATAGCAGGACTTGTATCCTGAAAAAAATCATTTTTAGACTCAAAAAATTGTTAATTAAATATTCACTATCAAAAAAAGAATTATTCTTTTAATCGAAAATATGTTTTGGCTTTTAATAATCCACAAAGCATTGATAAGCCATAAAATATAAATCAGTTAATCCCCTTCCTCAAATCCATCCTGAGCATGACATTAAACTACATCTGTATCCTGGGTAAGATGATAAACTACGTCCAGCAGCAAGGCCTCTGATCAGGAGTTTTTGAGAAGCTTAGAAACACTTCTTAATTGCTGGTGTTTCCAGGTCCAACCTGACCTCGAGTGGTAGCACCTGTAAGGGTCCCAGATATGGGCAAATAATTAACCCCTAAACTGAGGTCAAAACACTATAAAAGTGTAAAAATAGGTTTTAATACCAGAAATACTTTTTTGTAAAAAATTATTACCAGTAATACATTATTACCAGCAATAGATTTTTGAAGAGAAAAAATATTACCAGCAATACATTTTTGGAAAAAATTTTACCAGCAATAAAAAATTTTCTTGGCATTAAATAACCCATTGAGGTTGATATGCCATAAAACAAACCAAACCAAACGTTCTTCAAATCTCATTGATTGGTATTAAAGAACGAGAAATAACAGAAACCATATCAGTTGAAGACTACCAACAATGGCAACAACTAAAATGGATAGCACATGTAACTGAAGGAGAAAATAATGACATAATGAAGATGTTATAATCTTCCTAAAACCAGATCTCCTGATTCATGGTACACAAATTTCCCCCCACTGGCTGGATGTGAATGTTCCAAAACCCCAAAAGGAACTAAAAATTCTGTCAACTGCACATCAGCTCTGCACATAGTTTCCATTTTACTTACACATGCAAAGGAAAATACAATCCAGATTTTCCATCCAATACCATCCACTCCTGCCTCAAGAAACAAAATAAAAAAATTGAAGTTGATCCTCGCCTAAGGAAAGGACATAAAAGCCTATCAAAGGGGCATCTTCAGAGCCAGTCAGCACAAAAGACAAGATTCACACACTCATCAGAACATGACCTCTCACCTCCAAAGACAACATGCTGTCATCACAGTAAGTCACAACTCACCTTCTCTCACTTACCGTACGCCTCTGTGGACGACTTTATAATTCTACTTACCCTTTTCTTTCAACGAGTGAAATTTACACTAATTCACCATTTGTTGTATTTTTTGTTAATACAATTATTTATTTCTTAAACCTCCTTTGTTCTGCCACCACACACTTAATATAACAAAGATGGTAATGTTCCACATTACTAAGGCTACGGTGGACCCCCTCCCCCCACCAACATTACTGGAAAAGAGCAATAAGAGTTTGTGGATTTGAGAAACCTATTTTCATGAAAAACTGTTTTAAGAGAAAGATTTTATAAAATTCAGTCAAAATCAACTCTAAATTTTCAGACAATGAATAACAAATGTTTCCTTATACAAGGAATGGTTAATCATACCATTGCCATTACTACATATAAAGTTTAGAGTGAATACAAGTTTCTACTGCTTTTGTTTAATAAATCCTACTTGATTAGATCAAAAGTGAAATAAGGAGTTTCATATATAAATGTTTAGAATTTTCATAGGTTTTGATTATTCGTTTATTGCAGTGAAATTTCTTGTTGAACATCTAAAAATCCTCTCCTTTCAGTGTCAAACTTGATTCAAGTGAATGAGTATTTTCTGAACCGGGCTGATCGACTACACACACGAGAATACGATCATTGTAAATGTTGGGTCCACGAATATTTCCATGAAGGACGGCCAAGATGCTTAAAAGGTCAGTTTGATTTTGAAATATGTGATGCTAGTAAAAATTTAGGAAGAAATTAAGGCACGAAACAGCTTCCTCAGAGAAAGACATAAAAAAAACAGTTGATAGAGAATTGGTTTCTTTATTTCTGGCGTGATGTCTGGAGATATGTGAAATGACTGGTTTGCTTGAATTAATCTGGTTCTTTTCAATCATGTTTAACAGATTGAATGTCAAAACAAATTTTAGATTAAAAATAAAAAGAAATTGGGCAATTAAGTGTGCAATCACTTTTTCACTCCAGTTTGAAATAGTTATAAGCAAATACTTAAATCAGAGTAAAGGAGTAGGAGTAAAGTCAGTGGATTTCAATAAGAAAAGCCAAAATTTTTCTGTGTCAGTCTGGTTTTAATGCAATCTATTTGTTTTTTTTTTGTTTTATGGCGTATCAGCCTCAATGGGTTATTCAATGCTGATAAGATTTTTACAATATATTCATATGAATAGAATATATATTCTTTGTAAGGGAACTTTGTAGATCTGGTTTCATTGATATATTGTTGTAAAGAGGGTTGTTTTCAAGAGCCTGGTTTTATTGATGTATTATTTTCTGATACATGATTTGTAGAGAAATTGATTTTGATATTCTCATTTGTTTTTTAATATTTGGTAGAGTTCTCCTCTTTTGAGAAATGATATTATATCATCCACTTTTACTTCCTCAAACACCTCATACTTATTGTTTGTACTATAATATTTTTTGTCTTGAGAGAGCAAGATCAAAGCACTTGGTCAATATATGTTTAATAGTATATGCTGTTTTACATGCTTGGCATACTGGTTGATCTTTTTTGTTTAGTAAGTATGAGTGGGTTATTCTCATATGGCCAATACGTATGCAAACCAGTACCACTTCTTCCTTGCAAGATTTTCTGGAAGCTGATTTTCATTCTCCTAGTTTGGACTGGATTGTGAAGAGTTTATTGTGTAGGTTATCGTCTCAGTACCATTGCCATTCTTTTTGTATGTATTTATTAATGACCTCCTTAAAATCTCTGTATGGTATCTTAATCCTTGTATCCACATTCAAATCTAAAGCCAACTTGGCTGCTAGATTTGCTTCATTATTACCTTTAACTCCAATGTGGCTAGGAATCCAGCATAGTATGATGTTTTTTATGCTTGATAATAGTGCTCATTTTGCATAATATTTTCATAATAAGTCGGTTTTGGGATTTTTTCCTTCAAAGCCAACAGGATGCATAGCGAGTCCAAAAACATTAGAAAATTTTTTTTGCTTGCTCTTTGAGATAATGTTTAGAGCTAGCTCAAGTGCATAAGCCTCTGCAGTGAAAATAGAGCTTCCCTTTGGGAGGCGCCTTTTTTTGGTAATTTTTTGGCTCAATGTTGCACATCCTATCTTGTTTTCATATTTTGACCCTGCTGTATAGATGGGTGTATGGTAATGGAAGTTTGCTAATATGTCTTGAAACGTATCCTGGAATGTGAGTGGGTGTGTTTTTTCTTTGGAGAGATTATGTTATTCTAGCAGAACTTCAGGTTGCTTGATAGTCCATGGTGGAATACTGGCTGCAGCTGTTTCTTGTAGGCTTGTATAGTATTATCTTTTTGTCAGAATAGATTGCAATAATTCAGTTCAAAGGTACTGCTGTAAGCTGGATTAGTTGGTCATGATTTTATTTTTACATAGTACTGTAGTGCCAATTTAGTGCACTGTAAATGTGGAGTTGTTTCATTAGCTTCTGTGTATAAACTTTCCACTGGGGATGTTCTAAAAACCCCAAGTACTAATTGAGAATTTTTAGGTACAACTTTCTGGATGCCCCATATGTAAAACTAGCATAATTCAATTTTGAGCAAAGTAGTGATCTGTATAATTTGATCAACACTATTTACATTATTTAGACTATCGTCCTCATCTTTATTGCTATATTTATCACAACATTTCGGCAGTTGTACACTTCATCCTTCTTCAGGTGTTTGGAATGTCAAACTGAACCCTTTATTTTGCTCGCTAGGGTAGACTGTTTTAGTTCCATGTGCCATGTCTAATGGATGTCCTTAAAGACACATGTCACAGTGGATAAAGGCATTGTTTAGATCCAGTGACAGGACTCAAAGAGTTGTGAGTTCAATACCTGGTTAAGACAGTGAAGAACTTGGAGAGGGGAACTAACAAGAGATAACTGATAACTGACATCCATTAGACATGGCACGTCGAACTAGAACTGTCTAACCCAGCGAGCGAAATAAAGGGTTCAGTTTGACATTCCAACCATGTGAAGAATGCTGGAACATACAATGGCCGAAACATTGTGATAAATATGGCAACAAAGATGAGGACAATAGTCCAAATAATGTAAATAGTGTACATAATACCTCATCTCAGAAATATAGACAGATACTGAATTTGATTAACGTTAGTCAATCTTCTCCCCATTCAGTATGTGCCACTACATGCAGAAGTTGTAGGGCTTTGCTACATTTTGTTTTCAAATATTTTTGATGGGAAATGAACATTAATTTTTTATCAAAGATAATGCCTAGAATCTTGTGTTGTTCCACTACTGGGATTTCTGCTTCGTCTAATTCTAAACATGGATCATTGTGCAATTTTCTTAATTTGCAGAAGTCTAGGCATTTAGTTTTCTTTTTCGGAAATGTAAACTTATTTTCAGTGGCTCATCTGTGTATTTTATTGAGGCAATGTTGGAGTCTTTCAATTGTATTTATGTCGAGATCTGTACATAATTAGAAAATCGTTGACATATAGAGAGCATCTCACTGCTGGGTTTAGGGTTTTAACAATGGAGTTAATTCTTATACAAAAAAGCACCACTGAAAGAATTCTTCCTTGTGGAACTCCTTCTTCTTGATCTTGTAGATTTCATAATGTACTTTCTATACAGACTTGAAACCTCTAGTCTTTCAGAAAATTCCCTAAAATTTGAATCAGCCTTCCTTTTAGTTCATGCAGATCTTTCAAGATACCAAATTTTCCATTTTGCATCTACTCAAATATAAGTATCCATTTAAAAAATGATGTTTAAACAAATAAATTAAAAATCTGTTGGATTTAATCCATTTCTTTATATATATATATATATATATATATATATATATATATTATATATACTAGTTGTAATCTTATAAATATAAGAAATTTTACTTATCCGGAAAACCTTAGGTGCCTTGATTTGTGAATAAACAAACCAATACCAAACGGAAAAAATGGTATAAAAAAAGAAAGATCACAGAACATGTACGTTAGCAGAAAGTAATCGTCTAGCATTCAAATTCAGAGTCAAAGAAAAAACCCTGAGATGAGTAAGAAAATTAACTAAAAAAATAAAGTGCTCGATACACTAAGTAGAGGAAACCTAAGTTAAACCTAAAGAGCCAGACAACCTACCACGATTTCACCTAAGCGGATCGTCAGGGATTTCTGGCTATATATATATATATATATATATACACTACATCTCTATAGTAACACTGTTTTCAGTGAATTTCTATAGTAAAATCATTTTCAATTTACCTCTATAGTAAGCCATTTTCAATGCATCCCTATAGTAAATTTGCCTCTCAGTAGTAAAATCATTTGCAGTGCAACTGTAATTGTTTTCAATGCATATCTGTACTAAACTGTTTCCAATGACTCCCTTTAGTAAAATCATTTGCAATGCCTGCCTATAGTAAAAGTGTTTTCACTGTATCATTATGGCAATACTTTTTCAATGCTACTAAAATCATTTTCAATGCCCCTCTAGAGTAAAATCATTTGCAATTCTTCCCTATAATAAAACTGTTTTCAAGGCATCTCTATACTAAAATTGTTTTCAATATATTACTATAGTAAAAAAATATATGCAATGCACATCTATAGTAATATTGTTTTCAGTGCATTTCTATAATAAAATCATTTTCAATGCCTCTCACTAGTAAAATCATTTGTAATACATTCCTAAAATAAAACTGTTTTCAATACATATCTCTACTAAACTATTTTCAGTGTCTCCCTATAGTAAAATCCTTTCCAATGCATTCCTATAATATAAGTGTTTCCAATGCATCTTAATAGTAATACTTTTTTCAATGCACCACTATAATAAAATCATTTTCAATACCTTCCTAAAATAAAAATGTTTTCAATGCCTACATATAGTACAGGGTAACCAAAAAGTCCATGCCATTTTTGATTTTTTTAGGAAAAAAAGCTATACAGCAAATTTGACATACTGTTAATCCTCAAAGTAATTCCAGGAGCTTTTGCTAATGTGCCTCCAGCTGGACAATGCCCTGGAGGTAAAAATCAGTTGCCTTAGATGTAAAGAAGTCTGTGAGTGCCTGCCACACGTCTGCCTCATTTGTGAAGGATTACCCAAAAAGTGGTTGTCCAGGGAATTGAATAGGTGGTAATCTATTGGCACAAAGTCTTGAGAGTAAGGTGGATAGCACAGTGTCACCCAGTCAAGTCACCGTATAATATCCCTGGCCACCTGCACCACATGGGGTTTGGCATTGTCATGGAAGAACAGTGATTAACCAATGCTGGCTTCTACTTCAGTGCCTGTAACATGTTCCAAATGCTGCAAGTACAGGTCTGCAGTGATTGTTTGGCCCATTGGTCACAGTGCAACACTTGCTGACTAGTCCACCAAATACAGAGCATTATCTTGCAAAGGTGTAGAGGTGGTCTTGTGGTGGGAGATACAGGGTCCCATTGTGATAACCAATGTCTTGCATGCATGGTAGTGTCATCTAGAACCCATTTTTCATCACTAGTGAGCACTCAGTCAAATATGATTATGTTGCTGTGCTGAGACAGTAACAAGAAACAGGCTGTCACTCGTTGCTTGTTGACTTCTGACAGTGTGTGGGGTACCCACTTGCTCAACTTGCAGACCTTCCCTGTGCAGTGCAGGTGGAGTCTGACTGTTTCATCAGAGACCTTTATATGTTCAGTAAGTTCACCACAGGTTTGGCTGTTCTCTCATCCTCTATGG